AAAAAAAAAAAAAAAAAAAAAAAAGCAAGCACAAGGCAGGATTTTCTGAGTACTTACTAGGGACCTGATACATTATTCTTTTTTAAGCCACCAACCGCCACTGTCAAAGCCCTTCTCATCTCTCAATTGACAGAACCAGAGCTACCCACTGAGCAGGGCTTCTAGGAGGGGGTGAGGTTTCCAAGAAATTGGAAGTAAAGCTCTTCCCCCCTCTGTTTTTCAACTGTATATTTGGTCTGTCCTTACCAAGCAGGATCCTTAGGATCAACAGTCCTTGCCACTTGTCACCCTACTAGAATGGCAACATCTATGACAATATATTTTTTCAGCTTTTATTTTACAATTAGAGACCAAGGCTAAGATCTGAATTTCCATAAACTTCTCTTGGTACCTTATTTTCACCAGCTTTATAATCAGGCGATACAAAAAGCATAAGTAGAATGCTGAGAATTGATTACCAGTCTCCTAAAAGCAGTCTCCAAACAGTTTGTTCCTAAGAAACAGCAGCTCCAAGTCCCCAAGCATCTACTACTTCACAGGGCAAATACTCATGAGGTGTCTCTTAACCCTGGAGTGCCCCGAGGATTGCTGGAGTGGGTAAGAGACTCAGAAGGCTGCTCCACCCCCTCTGAGGGGAATCCCCACTTCCTTCCCTCTCCAACCTTTTCCTTCTGCCCCACCCGCTCTCCTCCCCCACTCCCCACACCTCCTCTAGGTAAAAGTGGGGGAGAGCTTTCCTCCCACAAGTGTGCCCTGGCCTGTGCCCAGCTGAGTTCAGTGATGAATCAGTCAACAAAAATTTATTGCGTACCAGCTTTGTGTAAGACTAGATTAAGCCCCTTTCAGTATCTACCATCTGCACAGCTCACTGAGCATGAGGAACATGGGGAGCACTGGAGATCTTGGCCCCCAGTATATGTCATCAGTTTGGCTCAAATAAACTCTTCCTTCTATCGACAAAAAAAAAGAAAGAGGAACATAACACTTTGAAAACATGTATTGTAGAAATGCTGAATAATAATGATAGCTAATAACCCATCAGCCGAAGAAGAAAGCAAACTTTACTAAGATGGGTAAAATTACCTGAGGAGCACAATAAATCTACTGAACAAAGCGAGTCAGCAGCCACACCCTTGCGCTATTTTGTAAAAGTGGTATCCTTTATTCACCTTGAAGTCACACCTGGCATTCGAAGCCTCTGTTTCTCAAACACAAGGCCCTTGAATGCTTTTCCTCTTTAATATACATGAAGCATTGTCTTTCGCTGGGATGATTTCAAGTTATGGGCTCTTTTCTCAACAAGATCAAGTAAAAAATCATGACTACAGAAGAAATATACAACTTTAACGTAGACAATGAAGGCATTGAAACAGAGATTTTGCTTACCTTTGTTCAGCCATTAATTCAAATGGAGACTGCAGCCAAGAAATCAACAGAAGGCTGAGGCCCAGTTGGCGTGGCTCAGCGGACCCATGAACCAAGGAGATCACTGTTCGATTCCAGGTCAGGGCACATGCCTGGTTTGCAGGCTGGATCCCCAGTAGGGGCGTGCGGAAGGAAGCCTATCAATGACTCTCTCTTATCACTGATGTTTCTAGCTCTCTCTCTCTCCCTTCCTCTTTCTGAAATCAATCAAAACATATTTTTTTAAAAAGAGGCAGCTGAATCTTGGAAAGGCAGCAATGGAAGAATTAGGAAAGGTCACCAAGAGCAAAGATATGTCACTGGACACCAAGGCTAAGATTATCCACACTCTCATATTCCCAATCACTATGTACAGATGCAAAAGTTGGAGCGTGAAGACAGCTGATAGAGAAAAAATTGATTCATTTGAGTTATGGTGTCGGAGGAGAGCTCTATGGATACCTTGGACCACCAGAAAGACCACAAGGGGGTCCTAGAACAAATGAAGCCTGAAACATTGCTGGAGGAAAAAATGACAATACAGAAGTTGTCCTATTTCGAGTGCGTCATGAGAGGGCCGGGTTCTTTGAAAAGACAATAACGCTGAGAAAAACAGAAGGCAGCAAGAAAAGAAGGCCAACTATGCGATGGATTAACCCCGTAAGAGAGGCCATAGGCAGCAGTCCACAGGAACTGAACAGGGCTGCTGAAGACAGGCGTTGTGGCCAGTGCTCATGCATAGGGTCGCCAGGAGTCAGAGCCCACACAATGGCCTGTAACACACACATTGACACATAAAATTATTCATCACATAGTCCATGACAGATTGGGGATTTTTTTTAATGTCCTTCACTGAAGATGAGTTGAGAAGCATTGTTCGAGATAACTTTTCATAGTCTACCAAATAGTTGCATTAATTAAAAAAAACAAGCAGACTAGGAATGCTCATTCCATATGGGAACAGAGTAAAATACTGGGAGCAGTGCCCTGGCTGAATGGGGAAAGGAGGAGAGAATCACTTTTTTCTTCTTACCGGTGAGTCTAAGCCATTAAAATCCACCTGTGCCCATCGATAGTTTATATTGCTCTAATCCAGAGGTTTCCAAACTTTCTCAATTCACAGCAGCGTCATGTCTCAGTAATTTTCTCACAGAGCCCCTAGGCCAAATGAAATGCCTAACAGAAATATCATTTATGCAGCAGTTAGGCCCTAACAACTTAGCTGTTTGAAAAAAACAATATATATAATAAAATGAAAGAAAAAATTTTTTTATTTTATTCTTAACCACAGTTGCTTATAACAGGATGTGTATGCCAACTGGGCACTGAACATTTTCTCAAATATTGGAATCTGTGTAACCACCTGTAACCTTTTGGTCCATGCTAATTTTTCAATTGGTACTTGCATTTTATAACAACAGCTGAAAACCCCACTTCTCAAAGATAAGACATCTCTGAAAGGAATGGAGAACAATCTAATGTTGAAACTAGGAGCTGCCTTGACCTAGTAGTTCATTCACTTGGTGTCCAACAGATGTCAAGCATTACCATGCACTCCTCAACGTTTAACATGTGTTGCAGCGCCCTTCGGAGCTTGCTGTGGTGTCCTGGGCACAGTTTGGGACTCATGGCTCTATTCCTTTTCTATTTTTGATTCTGTTCCCTCAGTTGCAAAATTATAAGCATCTACTTTAAGTGGCTAACACTCAAGAAGTTGTGTATTCTTCCCTCCTCTGTTCTTTGTCTATGATGAAGGTTATAGAAGACAGGACAGGCATCCCAAATATGTGCCTCCAGAGAACATAACAAAACCTTTGGCTCTGTTGTATATTTAAATAAGAATACAGTTTTCAACTATGTTAATTTTTTAACAATCAGATCAAGACAGAGCAGTACAAAAATATGTATAATTTTGTACCTTTCCCACTAATTTTTAACCATTCTCAATCACATTGTAATCTAATCCTGATTTTTCTATTTAATTGTATTATTTCACTTACTCTAAATTCCTGTCATTGTAGTTAAAAGTCCCTTGGATAATGTAAGTGGCTCTGATAGAAGTACTTTGGGACTTAAGCATAGCTTGAAATTAAAAGCCTTTTTTTTCCACCTGGGTCAATACCTTTTCTTCATTATTACTGTTGTCATCATCATCAGAATATGAACTATTTATCCTGTTTGGCTGGTGCCAACAGTTGGAAAGATGGCTCCCTGTCTCCTGTTTCTAGCTTCTCTTCCGGCTCATTTTTTATAGGCAGAGCAAAGGAGAGCGAGAGGCTCTTATGTCTCATATCTTCTGCAAGATTGTCTCTTCCCAGCAACAACAAAGAAGTCTCAGTCTCTCTCTCCCCCCTCCCTTTTTATGAAGATCTCTTAGCTTCTTTTATCTTCTTTTTACTACCAGCTACACACAGTTGATACAACCTGCCTCAGATATTAACGTGCTGTCTGACCATGGAGACGACATTCCCTTTCCATGGGTAAACCCAAGCTTATCAGAACATACTCTTTAAACTCTCTTTCCTAATGAACACAATTTTAGACAGTGGCGCAGAGCGGCTTTGCACTCAGGGATGGGAATCTGGTGCCAGGGCTGGCCCGGGAGAGCAGTGCCCTCCACTGCGTTCCCGTTTCCCCGGCCTGATGTGGAACTTCCCACTTCTTCCTTGCTGGAGCTTTTCTGTCAACCAGACGTCAACAGATATACTGGATTCTTTATACTTTAATCCGTTTAACATTTGAAAGTGCTGAAAGAGTTAGGCACATTACTCATCCCCGTATAGCTACTTTCTGCTTTCTGACGATGGGGGCGGGAGAATTAACTGGATACCTGTTTGGAGCAGGTACCCCAGCAGCCACCTGGCTGTATTTGGAATCCAGCTGGCACACAGCCTTCAGGGGGAAGGCTGACGTTCGGTGTTCAGGAAAAATTAAAAGCCTAGGAAAAGTACAAGCCCCTGGGCCAGAACAAAGCTGAATGATGGTTCCTTCTGAGGGAAGAGGTGGGAGTTTTTTCTTGCCTTGCTCCTGGGGATAGAAATGAAGTCACAACTTTTTTGCAGCAGTGACTAATTCCTCTTCAGAGGGCCTCCTGCTTTTGCAGAGCTAATTTAATGAATGGTACATGAGAGGTCTCTCCAAGTGAGAGCCGATAGAGGAGGAAACAGGGAAAAAGTACAACCGAGTCCCTAACCGTTACCAGCGTTGTAAAACAGGAGGAAATTTTCAGAAGCCAGAAGAGGAACCAGGCCTCCCCCAGATCTCCCTCAGACACGTTTTCTTCCTGACTCACTGGGTTCCTTTAGGAAAGCCTGGCGGCAGGCAAGGGAGCCAGCCTTTTCTGGCAATATGGGGCATTCTGACTTCAGATTCTGCAAATCTTCAAGAACAGACACAGCGTGCTAGTGTTCCAGGCTGGAGGCCAGCAGCCGAAGAAGCGCGTCAGATGGTTGGTGCTGTCAGCCAGAGACCCAAGGACTTTCCTGGGGCTGCACCTCTCCGGAAGTTTGAAGATGTCGGCACAGGTTTGCCTTCTGAAACGTGCAAATGTCACCAGCCGGGAGTGGCAGATGCCAAGAGGCATCTGAAAACAGATCTCCATCTGGTAATGGGTTAGGCTTCCCGGGGATGGGACGCAGATTAGAATAGTTTGAAACAAAGTGACGGAAGCACCAGTCTTGGCTTTTCACATGTTGTTATGGCCTCTGGGTCATTTCCTGCCTTTGGAATTTACTTCCTTTCCAGGTTCAACAAAACCAGATGACCACGAGAAAGAGGCTGGGATTTTTCTTTGCCTTGGGGTCCAGTGGAGGGGCAGCTCCGTGCCTGGGAACTTGAATCTCCGTGGTGGTTGCCTCCTCCTGTGCTCACACTGAGCCCAGGAGGGTGTCAGCCTTAGGAATGGAGCAGTAAATTAGGGAAGGGAGCCACCTCCAGTTGAGTCAGATGAATCCCTTTGTTTCTAGAAAACAAAAAGGGAAAGAATAGGTGGTGACAGGTGCAAATGATGCTTTGTGGAGGGGAGCTCTTACTTCCCAGTGCCCCATTCAGGGAGGCAGTCCCCCTTCGAGGAAGGAAGATGAAACCAGCTCCACACGGCCCACCCCTAACCTGCTGGAGTCAGCCAGTGGGCCAGTTAGGACAGTGACACTCGCTACACAGTAATGTCCTGCTTTCTTTTATTTCATTCATATTTATCTTCCACAGAAAAGAATTAAGGTAGCAACACTGTCTTCTTGGTAGCATTTCTGTGCTCACTTTTGGGTACTTTGGAGATGATGTGTGTCTTTATTGCAAAATCTCTCTGCAGCCCCCAGTATACCCTGGGTACCCCTGCAGTTCTACAGGCAGAGACCCTCACCCCACCCCAGAAGCCAAAGTGAACCCTCTCACTCCAAGGGCTACAGGAGCCAGTTAAAACTTAATGCGGAAGCTGCTGCCACTATTGTGTGTCTAAGTCTGAAAGATTTGTCTCTTTAGAGAGTGACCCACGGTCACACATTCCTTCTGAAAATCCAGCTCGTGCAGCCCCTGCTGTCTGGAGGAAGCTTGTGGAGCCCGTTCATGTCCAGAGCCCACCTCTCACTAGACTGAGAGATCCGAGTTCACAGTTTCATTTATTTATTTTGTTAACCCTCACCCAAGGATTATTTTTTCCATTGGTTTTTAAAGAGGGTGGAAGGGTTAAGTGGAAGGGAAGGAAGAGAGAGGGGGGAAAAAAAACAAAAAAACATCGTATGTGAGAGAGATACATCGATTGGTTACCCCCTGCACATGCCCCGACCAACCTGCAACTCAAGCACGTGCTCTTGACCAGGAATTGAACCCATGACCCTTCAGTACACTCTAACCACTGAGCCACACCGGCCAGGGCAGAGTTCACAGCTTTAAAGGAAGGGGCCCTCTTTGCCCCAACCTTGTCTTAGCACCTCACTAACCTGGCAGCAAGTGTTCAGTCAGTGCAAAGGAAGTGGCAGCTGGTGACCAGCTTTTATCCTGGCTACCCAATCCCCAGAAATGAGAACCAAAACTCCCCCGCCCCCACACCTTGACAGAAGGTCAGGTTATTACTGTGCTCAAGAGTGAATCAAACTGACCTTTCCAAATCACACTGCCTCATCGGGTATCCGCAGAAATGGTCTCCTGTGACATTTCACAGCGATGGTTCCAACAACATTTAAGAAGTTCCAGGGGAAGGAAGTAACTAGGAACAGAGTTGGCTCTATAAATAGGCAGGGTCAGAAACACCTGCAGGGTATGATTTCCAAAGCACCAAGAAGTCTGCTCAAGGGCCCCAACTTTCCCCCACTAAAGACCACTCCGGAAGATTAAGACATTCTGTTTCCATGTAAAAGTATAACATGGGGCTGGTAATTTTGGAAACTATTGCATTTTAAACTTCAGTGAGTCTGACTGCACAGGTGCATCAAGGGCCAGGAATCTGCATTTTTATCAAGCCCACCTGCAGATGTTGGTGCAGGTGATCTATGGCCCATACTTTGGAAAACTCTGCTGCAAAAAATTGTGAGTCATTGTCACACTAGCATGGAGTAATTGTCGATACAGGAGAGCACTGTACCTGAATTCCAGGCCAGGTGTTGGCACTCTGACTGTGGGCAAAACAAGTTAATTCTCCAGGGCTGAAAGCCTTAGGACCATATGGTGATCTCTAAAAGTTTAGTTGGGGGCTGGTTTCTAAATTATGGCTCAAAAGCCTGCAAAGTATGAGGGTTGTCCCCAACGGTAAGAGGGTCCAGGACTTCTCCAGCATGCCCTGTACACTCACTGAAGCTCTGCAGTGCAGAAAACTCTGGAAACACAGAGGACCCTCTTGTCCCAGGACTGCAGTCCTGCTGTCTGAGGTCTTGGGGTACAAGAACCACAATAGATACATCTCTTTTCTTTGCCTTTAGTAATTTACAAATAGGCAAAAAGGGAGAAGATTTATTTAGTGCTTTATATGCATTATCTTTTAAATTTTCAAATAACCATAGTATCATTGGTCTCATATTAAAGATGAGAATTGAGATTCAAAGAGGTTGAATAACTTGCCCAAATTCCCAAGGTCACATGGCTACTGTATGCTTGAGCTGCAGTCTGGACTCTTGCCTGTCAAGGTGCAAGTTCAATGTTCTCTCCACAAAACTATTCATAACTAAAAATTTTGCTATGGCCATTCTGAAGACCTAGATGTTTTGAGACCCTCAAAATAACCTTGCCTCTCCCTGACCTGTTATCCACACCTGTTATCCACACCTGTTACCCACTCTGCTTCAGAATCTTCCCATATCCTTGGTCTTTATTGCATCCCTGACCTCTAACCCCTCAGCCGTGCTCATTTCTTATCCTCATGACTTCTTGACCCCCAGGGATAAACTATGCCACCACCTCTGCTGGGCCCAGGGGTACTTTTCTAGTCTGCAATTATTCCAGTCACTGACTTCAAGACCAGTGGTTTTCATAGCTTGAGAATTCCCAAATGCTTAAGAGGCATCTGTGTACTAACTGAATTGAAACCCCTCCCCCTTCCTCTCCCCCTCCCCTTCTACCCTCTTCCCACCCCAGGTCTCTTCTCAAATCAAGGCATAAATGCAGGAAACCTGAGTCAGCCCATACCCTTCTATTAGCCCCCTCAAACCTCAACTTCCTAGTAACAGAGATTATTCTGGGGTGCTGGGCACCCCCTAGTGGGAGTAATGGAGAGAGAAGAGAGACTGCTTTGACGCTGTTCTCAGTAACCCACCCACCCCCAGCTTCTGCCCCTCCACAGAGGCCTTTGCCTTCCAGCCCAATCCACTGTTCCTGGAATGATTCATTCTTCCCACGATGATTGGGCCTTTTGCTTCATAAAGACCTCCCTGAGTTTATGGACATAATGAACTAAAATTAAGCAGAAGGCAATTCAGGCAGAATCGTAGGGAAAAGGTCCTATGGAGAGAGCTCTTGAAACCCTGAAATTCCTTATAAGGCAAACTGAGTGAGACCTAACAGCACTCAGCAAAACAGTAGAGAATATCTTGGAAGGATATTTTGGGAAGTGAGGAGGATGAGGGAAAGGCTGCCTTTCTGGCTTTAAGATACATGTTAATGCCCACATCTGACACCTTTAGCCTGATTTCAAGACTTATCTTAATGCCTGGTGCTATGTCTTATCCCTTCTCAGGACAAGGGAACACCCAACATTTAACCATTTTGGAATAAACAGACGAAGCACTCTCCCAGCAGAGGGGCAGCCCATCTGTGGATGTGGGACATTCTGGACATTTGTCACTGTCCCTCCCTCTTTAAAGACCATGACCATAACCCCCCATGACAGGGCATGAGCCCTATTACGTTGTAATCAATAAACCATTTTCTGAGTACCTACAATATACAAGGCTCAGGCCAACCTGATCTTAAGCATTTTCTGCCCACACCTAAAAGATAGGGAGAGCTAGCATATTTGAGTGCAAGCGCTAAGAATTCTGGGCATATTCAGAGTCCCGATTTTAGCTCAGTAGCTGATCATCTGCTCACTGGACAGGGGTCAGCCAATCTCATCCTGCAGCCCAATGCCTGTCCCTAGGAGATGCTACAATTACACAGCATGCCACCTCCATATGACTTTGGTTGCTATGGTCTTACCTGTTCCTGGGTTTGAGGCATCGACTCATTAGTGCCCATTCATGTTGGCCATCTCTGATAAGTTCCCTGAAACCCTGCTCATAACGCTAGCAATTCCAATGCAGGATTTTCTCTGCGATGGCTGCTGCCTCATCTTGAGCCTAGTTGCTTAGGCAGTCTAATCTCACAACTGCTTACAGTGTTTATCCCTTTCAGAGCCATTTGATGATGTTCATCTCTCTGACAACCAAGAACCTGGGAAGAATCTCTCCCCTCAGGCACTTCCATTTTTGTGTCCAGATTGGCAGCCTTCCCAACTCACCAGAGGCCTCACAGAATGAAACCCTCTGTGGAGGGTTAGAGGAAAAACTGGACGTAAGTTCACTGGATATCTGGGGGAAAGAAGAAAGGTCAAGATGCTCCAGCTTGGTTGGCCTCTCTGACAGAGGCCTGACAGCAGAAGCTGGGGCTCCTTCCTGCATAACTTGGGCTTGAATTAAAGGCATTTTTTTAGTCCAAAGACTTCTGGCCTCCACTCTGAATGGAACACTCAAAGGGCAGAGTAAGGTCCCCAGCTGGCAGGAAGGACACACTGGCCCCCGGGGCTCCAGTGCCTTGGCCAACCTGGAAAGAAGGCACAAAGGCTGTGGTGCGTCAGCGAAGCCACCTGGAGTGCTTCTGTCAGTGTGAACTGTCCTCATTCATGTAAGCTGGCCCTGGCTTTGTAAGAAAGGGCAGTAATGTGTTTATGTGCTCAGAGGAGAAAGCCTTCTGGAGAGAGAATGAGAATTGAAAGCAACAAACCCAACTAGTGTGGCTGCTTTGGGTGGCTGGGAAAGAAGGAATCCTCAGACAAGGGCCCCCCTCTTCGCCCCCCTCTCTGACAGTTAGAGATAAGGGAACTTTCACTACTTCTGTTTCTATTTTAGGAGAAATAAAAAGCAAATCATAAATCTAAAGATGACGGTCCATTCATCTGGGGAGAGAATTAAACAAGCTGTTACATTCCAAACAGATATTAGGACTGCTGAAGTGCAGACTTTTAACCTGCCAGTGGAAATGTTTCTTTCCTGAAAGTCACCATCGATTAGACACCAAAGATAAGGTTCCAAAAAAATTACTTTTCATGCAAGTGAAGAAGCATTAATTTGGGCTGTCTGTAGTGAGCTGGATTCCAAGAAAAAGTAAAAGGTGAACAAACAGAGCAGTTATGGGAAATTCAGGAGCATGATTTGTTGATAAAGGTGAAGAGACAGTGGTTCAGCTGACCCAGAACTGCAACAAACCGAAATCAATGGTTTTGCAGCTTGGGAGGTGCCCAGAAGGGAAAGGGCCCCTGGTTCAGGCTTTAGAGAGCCA